CCGTATCCACTGTTAGCGTAACACACCCGCTTTAAGGACACTGACTGCTATTCAATCTATAACAGTGAAAAAAAGGTTTTTGTTTTTTAAATCCAAACTATTGTGACACCAGATCTAATTAGTGGCACTTGTCAGCGTATCCACTGTTAGCGTAACACACCCGCTTTAAGGACACTGACTGCTATTCAATCTATAACAGTGAAAAAAGTGTTTTTTGTTTTTAAATCAAGCTTTGTGTCACCAGATCTAAGTGGTGGCAATGGTCACCGTATCCACTGTTAGCGTAACACACCCGCTTTAAGGACACTGACTGCTATTCAATCTATAACAGTGAAAAAGTGTTTTTTTTTTTTTAAATACAAGCTTTGTGTCACCAGATCTAAGTGGTGGCACTGGTCACCGTATCCACTGTTAGCGTAACACACCCGCTTTAAGGACACTGGCTGCTATTCAATCTATAACAGTGAAAAAAGTGTTTGCTTTTTTTTAAATCCAAGCTTTGTGTCACCAGATCTAAGTGGTGGCACTGGTCACCGTATCCACTGTTAGCGTAACACACCGCTTTAAGGACACTGACTGCTATTCAATCTATAACAGTGAAAAAAGTGTTTTTTGTTTTTAAATACAAGCTTTGTGTCACCAGATCTAAGTGGTGGCAATGGTCACCGTATCCACTGTTAATGTAACACACCCGCTTTAAGGACACTGACTGCTATTCAATCTATAACAGTGAAAAAAGTGTTTTGTTTTTAAATCCAAACTTTGTGTCACCAGATCTAAGTGGTGGCACTGGTCACCGTATCCACTGTTAGCGTAACACACCCGCTTTAAGGACACTGACTGCTATTCAATCTATAACAGTGAAAAAAGTTTTTTGTTTTTAAATCCAAGCTTTGTGTCACCAGATCTAAGTGGTGGCACTGGTCACCGTATCCACTGTTAGCGTAACACACCCGCTTTAAGGACACTGACTGCTATTCAATCTATAACAGTGAGAAAAGTGGGGTTTTTTTAAATCCAAGCTATTGTGACACCAGATCTAAGTGGTGGCACTGGTCACCGTATCCACTGTTAGCGTAACACACCTGCTTGAAGATAACTAACTGCTATTCAATCTATAACAGTGAAAAAAGTTTTTTGTTTTTAAATCCAAGCTTTTGTGTCTCAGATCTAAGTGGTGGCACTGGTCACCGTATCCACTGTTAGCGTAACACACCCGCTTTAAGGACACTGACTGCTATTCACTCTATAACAGTGAAAAAAGTTTTTTGTTTTTAAATCCAAGCTATTGTGACACCAGATGTAATTGGTGGCACTGACTGGGGAAATGGGCACAGTATGCACTGTGAGCCTGACACAGAAGCTGCAGCAGTGGCAGACAACTGACTGCTATTCAATCTATAACAGTGAAAAAAGTTTTTTGTTTTTAAATCCAAGCTATTGTGACACCAGATGTAATTGTGGCACTGACTGGGGAAATGGGCACAGTATGCACTGTGAGCCTGACACAGAAGCTGGCAGCAGTGGCAGACAACTAAGTGCATTTACATTACATAGAAAAATAAAATAAAATAAAAAGCATACCCTTATCCCTAACCTAGCTATGCTTTTCCCTATCTTATGAACAGCAGCTACACTTTCCCTCCTCTTACTAAGCATGCAGCTTGAGAATGAATCTAAAATGGATGCTGTCCAGTAGGTGGGAGGGTCTGCCAGGGAGGCTGTGCTGCTAATTGGCTGGAATGTGTCTGCTGACTGTGAGGTACAGGGTCAAAGTTTACTCAATGATGACGAATAGGGGGCGGGTCGAACCGCGCATATGTTCGCCCGCCGTGGCGAACGCGAACATGCTATGTTCGCCAGGAACCGTTCGCCAGCGAACCGTTCGGTACATCACTAGTTACCATACGTATAGTTGAGTTAAGCCTGTATGGAGACAAAAGGGAATATACACATAGTGAAGTATGTAATGGAACAGTAAAAACAAATATAAAAAACAATAAATACAAAAGTAGTGGCACAGAAAGAAATACTTCTGTGCTAAAAAGCTTGTCAGCCACTGCTGGGCTAAGTCCCCTTATGTTGAGTTTCAGCCCCAATGCCTCAGGATATCTGTTGTTTGTTCGTTTTTCAATCTCTTCAGATGGAGTGAGAAGGTTGATAAATCAGGCAGGTACAGGCTGTAAGGTAAAAGGAAGATACCACCTAAGCTTTATAGGATTGAGCAAAACTTCACTTTGCTCTCCTTTTGTGAGTATACCTAATTTTATCCTTTTTATTTCCTATTTATCCATATAGAGAGCACTATTTTCTGTTTTTATACCTCTCTGCTGGTGTACCTTTGCTGCTGAAATACAATGCACTGAAAGAAAACATCCCCAGCAACTGATAATTGCTGCCCACTGCTGACAGGCCTGAGGATATCTCCTAACAGAGAACCAGGACCTATACCAGCATATCCATAGACAGGGATCATACCACTGGCATACATACCGCGGTTGCAGGGGTCACAGCTGTGACCGGGCCCGTCACTCCAGTGGGCCCGGCCGCCCTGCAGACCCCTGCAACCGGGTGCCCACCATTATCATTTGCGGACCTGGCCCGCACGGCAAACTGCCGTGGCCGCATGTTAAGGTGCCCATCGGGTGGCCCTGACAGCATAGGCCACCCGATGGAGATGGATTGTCAGGGGTCCTGGTCATGCTGGTAAAGCGCCCAGCGCTTGACCGGGCCCCCTGTGATGAGATCATCACACGCTGGGAGGAAGTGACTGCACATCACTCCTTCCAGCTAACACTGAGAGCCCACGCGGGAGGAAGCAGAGGGAGTCAGAGTGGGAATTCTGACTCCTACCAGCCTGAGCCACCACTGGACCCCAGGGAAAGTCACCCTCCTGCACCTAAAAGGTAGGAAACAGGAGGGTGACTTAAATATAATGTGTGTGTGTTTGTATGTATGTATGTGTGCCTGTCTGTTTGTATGTATGTCATGTGTGTGTGTGTGTCTGTCTGTGTGCATGTGTCTTTGTATGTAAGTGTCTGTCTGTATGTGTGCCTGTCTGTTTTTATGTATGTGCGTCTTGTGTGTGTGTGTGTCTGTCTTGTCTGTATGTATGTGTGCCTGTCTGTTTGTGTCTGTCTCTGCCTGTCTGTTTTTATGTATGTATGTATGTGTCTTGTGTGTATGTGTGTCTTGTGTGTGTGCCTGTCTGTCTGTATGTGTCTTGTGTGTATGTATGTATCTGTCTGTGTGTGTCTCTGTATGTATGTGTTTGTGTCTGTCGGGGGGGCCCATGGATCACTTTCGCATCGGGGCCTCATGGGTTGTGTACGCTACTGGATCATACCGTCCAAGCGAATACATCTGGAGCTGATTTTAAGCTCCAGAAAATTGTAAGTGTTTTCCTTTCTTTTCATCTTATTTTACAAGCAATGAAAACACTGCACTAGATTTCGCTTTATTGTCTTCCTATCATTTCAAATCACCCTATACTCAATTGGATTTGAGTACATTACTGACATTATCTACAGCCAGAAGGAAAAGACTCCAATTTCTTCTATCCATTCCCACTACACTATGCCTGCACCAATGGCTGCAGTCATATTAAAGAAAAAAAGACTTTCTAATCCCTCTGGTTGGTAGAGGCCTGCCTTCCTTTCCACATCCTTTCTAGCTTCTAGTTACTGGGTCTTGACATCCATGGTGACCAACTCTTCTCTTGGCCAGGTTATTTTTTCAGCTGTATAACTGGTGAATGGTAAGGCATATGTGTTGATGGTTTGTTCTTGTCATTGAGCTGGGACTTCAGGACCTGTCTGACTCACTTCAGGTACTGATTGCTATCCTCTGTGCCTCTTCCACCTGGTTGCCATATGTTTGTGGTCCCCCAAGTACATGTAGCTTTTCTCTACATTTCCTATTTGAACTTCTGGCACTTGAGCTCCTTCCCTCTTTTTGCTATCATCTGCTCACACTCACACTCTAGTCTAAATGGTATTCCGATGTCCTTGCTGTATTTCCTAGTGAGTGAGTCAATGCCTCTCACACTTTTTGAATACAGCTTGATCTCTTCCATGTAGAGTAGGTGGCTGATGGTAAAAGGAGGCCAAGAGTGTTCTCTATTTGTAGTAAGTATAAAGCGCAAGTAATAGTAATATACTTAGAGTGGATGGAGCAGACTAACCGCTCTCTGTATCAGGCGTGCTACAGGAACACACGCATGGAATTACTAACCTATTGTAAGAGAAGGATATGCAAAGCTACAAATGCTTTGTGGATGTGGGCTTGGAAGATCTCATGTCAGTTACAATAAATATACCCCTATGGACGACCACACAAAGAATCCTAGGTGGGGGTTATACCACCCACGCCTGATACAGAGAGTGGTTAGTCTGTTCCATCCACTGTAAGTATATTTCTATTACTTGTGCTTTACACTTACTACAAACAGAGTGTCAGGATCTTACCATGTGTGGAGTCCGACGTGCAGAGTTATATGCTCACCCTTGCAAATAATCATAGACCAAGGTGACCAGGCAAGAAGCAACATGGGCTGTGAGTCTGTGCACGGGGGCTGTGCAGGAATAGTGTTCCAAGTCGCAGTACAGGCAAGGATTACCAGAAGAGTAGTTGTGGAAAGCCGAAGTCAGGGGAAGCCAGAGGTCAGAGTAAATGAGGAAATAAGCCAAGGCCGGAAGCCAGAATCACTCTGAAAGAACACTGGATCAAGATACGAATATCAGGATCCAAACCGCAGAACCAGAGTCAATGAAATGACCAAGCTCCCAGCGCGAGACAGTGCTTATATATCCAGCTAATAATGATCTGCTT